GGGGGGGGGGAATTTAACACAGTTACTCCAGATGTGGCCTCACAAGTGCTGAATAGAGGGGAATAATCACTTCCCTTGACCTACTGGCAGCACTCCTACCAATGCAGCTCAGTATGCTGTTAGCCTTCTTGGCAACCAGGGCACACTGCTGGCACATATTCAGCTTATTGTCCACTATAACTCCCAGGTCCTTTTCTGCAGAGCTGGTGCCCAGCCAGTCAGCCCCTGGCCTGTACCAGTGCATGAAATTGTTCCATCCTAAGTGCAGGACTTTGCATTCCTCTGTGTTGAACCTCATGAGATTCCTTTTGGCCCAATACTCATATTTGTCTAGGTCACTGAAATCCCTACAAGGCTCTGTACAGTGATAGGAAATTTAAAATAGACCCTCCTGAAATGCTACAATCCCACACAAGTACCAGCAAATAGAGCATAAATACCAGAAACCAGGGCTTGGCACATATTTTAGAAAACAATGTGGGGTGGGGAAGGACAGGTTGTTTACCTTAAGCTTACAGGCTGAAGTCCAAATGCATTGACACTGAACAATAATTATACACCTACAGTCTCCACTAAGGTTAATTTACAGCAGTGAAACATATGGCCCATCAGAAGTAAAACTTGCTTGGTGGCAAAACATTATGTTAAATTTAAAACCTTAAACAAACAATATTATTTCCTGTGCTTCTTGTCCAAGCGCAGCCACAGCAAATAGCGCCAATAACATTTGTAGGGCCAGATTCATCTCTGGTGTAAACAGTTGCTTCAATAGCACAAGACCAGGGACACTTTTAGTTTTGCTTGTATCACAATACATAGAAATGCAAAGCAGTTGCCACATTTGAAACACAGTAAGTTATGAAATAACATTTACAGTTTGGCTCCTTTATCCTAGGCTTCTTCAAAGCATATCCAAGGCTCAAGATTTAAAACCAAGAGATATTTTAATTTTTAGCAGATACCAGCTGAGGTATCAAAGTGCAAAATCTGGCTGAAATTCTTTGCCAGGGTTATTTGTGAGCTGGCCAAGCTCAGGTTCTTTCAAACAAAACCACCTCCTGCCTGAAGCTAATTGAGATAGATGTCACAACCATCATCTTGGCTGTCCTCAGAGCTAAAGAGTGAGCTAATCTCCTGTTGGATGTAAAGGACCAGGTCATTCAGCTGGGAGTAGTGGAAGAGTCAGCTCACAGAATCATAGTAAAATAGGCCTGAAACGGACCTCTAGAGGTCATCTAGCAACCCCCTGTCTGAGGCAGAATTATCCCTATCCAAACCATCCATCCCATGGGTAGTCTGGTGCCTCTTAGGTCAGGGGGGCACGTGCCTCCCATGACACCAGTCAGCAACTGGGGGTTCCCCCAGTGGCAGATCCTGCTGGCTGGGGGGGACTGATTTCACTCACAGTAAAAGCGGCCACGCTTCCAGAACTCCAGTGGCCATTTCCGGAAGCAGCATGGCCACTTTTGCCTGCTCCCTGGCCAGCGTTTGCAACAGGGGCACTGGTGCTCCCGACTGCCCCCCTGCCCATCAGCTACACAGGGAGCACAGACTGACAGGGGGTGCACTGGCGCTATCAGGGGGTGCACATCCACCCTGTGCACCCCCTATGCATTGCCCCTGCATACAAATCCTTGTTTAACCTATCACTAAACTACACAATCAACCGTATTCATAGGTTTCATAGATTTCATACACATTAGGCCTGGAAGGGACCTCACAAGATCATCTGGTCCAGCCCCCGGCTGAAAGGGCAGGAAGTCAGCTGGGGTCAGAGGACCCCAGCAAGATAGTCATCCAAACTCATCTTGAATGTGTCTGGAGTAGGTGCTTGTACCACTTCTGAGGGGAGTCTATTCCAGACTCTGGAGACTCGAACAGTAAAGTTCTTCCTTATGTCCAGTCTAAAACGGTCTTTCAGCAGTTTGTGACCGTTGGACCTTGTTTTCCCTAGGGGAGCCCCGGTGAACAGACGTTCTTCTAGGTCCTGATGTACACCCCTGATATAGGTTGCCACCAAGTCCCCCCCTGAGCCTATGCTTTTCCAAGATGAAAAGTCCTGTGCCTCTCAGCCTCTCCTCATATGGCTTGCTCTCTTGACCTCTGATCATATGTGCGGCTCTTCTCTGGACCCTATCAAGCTCCTCCACATCCTTTTTAAAGTGTGGAGCCCAGAATTGGATGCAGGACTCCAGCTGTGGCCTCAGCAAGGCTGAATAAAGTGGGAGAATGACATCTTGGGTCTTGTTTGAGATTCATTGGTAGATGCAAGCCAGGGTTTTATTTGCTTTGCCAGCTCTGGCATCGCACTGGTGGCTCATATTCATCTTGTGGTCAATCATGACTCCCCAAGTCTCTTTCAGACATAGTGCTAATGAGTGAAGCACTGTTGAGCCTATAGGTATGATGTGGGTTTTTCCTCCCGAGGTGGAACACCCTGCATTTCTTTATGTTGAAGGTCATCAGGTTTGTATCTGCAATCATTGTGAGCCTATCCAGATCAGCCTGAATCCCCAGCCTATCTTCCAGTGTAACCACGCTTCCCCATAGTTTGGTGTCATCTGCAAACTTGACCAGTTTGTTTCTGACACCCAAATCCTTATTGTTAATGAATATATTAAAGAGTACTGGTCTGAGTACTGAACCCTGCGGGATGCCACTGGTCACCATATGCTATGCTGACTGTTCCATCAACAATCACTCTCTGGGTCTGACCACAGAGCCAGTTCCCAAGCCATCAGACCATAAGGTTGTGGAGGCTGCAGTTCCCCAGTTTTTCCATGAGAACATAATGGGAGGCCAAGTCAAAGGCTTTTTTTAAATCCAAGTAAATGACATTAACCTTTCCCCCCCGTCCAGGTGACATGTCACCTGGTCATAGGAGATGAGGTTGATCAGACACAACCAACCCAAAACAAAGCCATGTTGGCTGTCTTTCAGAATGGTGCCTTCTGTCAGCCTATTGTTGATGGATTCTTTAATAATTTTTTCCAAGATCTTCCCAGGGATTGAGGTCAAACTGATTGACCTGTAGTTCCCTGGATCTTCCTTCCTTTCTTTCTTGAAGATAGGCACCACGTGGCTCTCTTCCAGTCTTCAGGAACCTCTCCTGAGTGCCACAAGTTCTCAAATATCTGTGCCAATGGTTGAGCTATGATGTTGGCAAACTCTTTTAGCGCTCTTGGGTGCATTCCATCAGGGCCCACGGACTACAGTGCATAGTTGTATTGCACAACTACAATGCATAACAACCTAACCTGGCCCAGGTAAAGCAGGGGACAACAGTGGTCAGTGTCATGCTGTTGTAAAGGTTGTTAAAGTGCAAAGCTTGTTAAAATACACTTGAGAGATCCAAAGAAGAGGGCCATGCCCCCCGCTACAGAGGGGCACATCCCAACAAGCATGCACGTGCAGGCATGCACATTTCCCCCAGGACAAATAGCAGCAGCATATATTTGTGCTGCTGCTATTTGTCCTTGGGCATGCCACTGCATGCCTGCTCTGGCACATGGCAAAGGGATCCGTGTGGGGTAAGGGAGGTTAGGGCCAGCACCTGTGCTGCCTTACCTGGGGTCCTGGGGCCTCCTGGGGCAGCAGTGGTACCAAACTGGCCGCTTGGAGCCTCATTGGAAGCTAGAACATGGCTCTGACTGGTCAGGTTCCCTTTCTGGTGGCACACACTATTGCCATGTAAGCCATGCCATTTTGTTTTAGCAGCAGTTTTTTTTTTTTACACTGGGATCTCCTGGTGTAAAAAATCCCCAAAATGCTGCGCTACAAATTAGTAGCACAGTGAATGTGCTGCATGTGGTTTTCAGCACTTCAGTTTGTTTTGAGACACAGAAAACCACATGCATGTGCTTTTTGGGATGTGGCCAAAGGAAGCAAAATCCCTCACAGTTGGTACAAATCTGACCATGGGGTAAAATTCCTTCCTGATCCAAAACCCAGTGATCAGTCTGACTCTGAGTGGAAAGGTAAGACTATCTAGCCAGGAACCTCCAAGTTTTAGTCCCCGCAGGAGCACTAGCACACCCCAATCAAAATCTGCAGCCTTGGCTGCAGCCAGCACCAAATGCTTCTGAGGAAGGTTAAAAAAAACAAAAATCCAGCACCTATAGCAACAATAGGGGAAAAATTCCTTCCCAGTCCCATGAGGCAACCAGGAAAACCTAAAAACGTAGAGAATACCAAACACTCTCCATTCTGCTCAGCAACCTAGGGACAGCAAGCATAAATCCACATATCACACCCTCTTACTGGAGAGCCAGATGTCCCCTTTCTGTATTCCCTCCATAAACTTCCAAATCCTTTGTGGATGCATCACAGAGAGGGCCACAAAACACTATAGTCTAAGTTACATATACGAGCTTATGCTGAAAGTATATTGCGCTCCTCTGCTATCCTTATGTTTAAAATACTTAAAGATTGTGGACAAAATTTTATCTGTTTGGCTCATGCAACAACAGCAGTTTTGTAGAGCTGTTACAATCTTGTAAAATAAAGTAAAGTATCCCATAAAAGCTGCTTTTCCAGCCTTGTGCACTGATCTGGATCACAGCAAGGACCACCCAGGTTGAAATTAATCTCTGCTTCTGGAACAAGCCTGGACGGTGCCCAGAGATGTATTTTTATAAAGATTACCTGAAAAACTCACTGAGGCTTTCTACAAAGCTATTGCTTTTTTTGCCCCCAAGACCAGTTTCACCCTCATCCTCTTACCTGGAAATGACCCTGAAGCTGCCCACTCTGTTCCTCATTTTACCACGATGAGCTAGAACGAGGACCCAGGCACACACACTTCCTTTTTCCAGGTCTTCCAGTGTTTAACACTACTGGTACTAACAGCTCATCACTTCCATAAAAAGCCGGGGACAGGCGGGGACAAAAGGAGTGGCTATGAGTTCACAAGATACAGGTGAAAGTTGCTTTATGTCATAAAAGCTTGCAATAGCTCTGCTTACGAACAGAAGAACATTAATCAGGTGTGAGCAACTCACTGCCATGCTCCCCCAACTCCAAGTTCATGTGTTCATGCATCAAGTGTCAGATTTGGAAAAATCTCTGGAATTTTGTAGCCGTGGGGGGGAAGTGCCTTTGCAAGCATGCATATACACACATGCACATGCACACACAGAGTGAGTGGGAAGGATCACATGTCCATTTCCCCATTATTTTCCTGTCCTGGCACAGGGCTGGAGTGAGGATGTCTTTGTGGCAGAAAGCCACCTTGGTTTCTCCCCAAAAATCTCTGCCCTGTGACACTGTGATTTAAATCTCTGTGCTGTGACCATTCAATTAGGATGGGCCCAGCACACAGGGGACCACACCCTCAGCCTGTCTCTTTAGGCAACTGGAGCTGGCTGCATTCCTGAGGGAGGGGGAAACCTGCTCCCTCTGCCTACGTGACTTGCATCACTTACCTGGGTGAGGGGTTTCTACCTGGGGAGCTGGAATCTGCCCGGTAACAGGTGATGCATTTCAGATTGGTTGGCTGACAGCCAACTGGGGCTGACCTCCGCTGGCCCAGGTGAATGAGGTCACAGGGGCTATATAAGTTAGGACGGGGAAGGAGGCGGTCTCTCCTCTCCGGCCATGAGGTGATGCAGCAGCCAGGCAGGGGACAGAGAAGCCTTAACATCTGAAACTGGCTCTCTCCCCCCAAACTCACGAGCTAGGAACCGCCTGCCTCCAAAGGGAAACTTCACCTGCCTTTGGAAGATGCTTGTGAGTAAGCTACTCAATCTGATTAGATATTTAGCTGGAAGTATCACAGATGCGTAATCAAAAGGCTACCACAGCCAGACTGTTTGCTCTTTAGGATTTCTAGATATTGCTCTATCCTGTACCCTAGTTTACCCTACCCCCTGTAATCAATAAAGTTCTCCTTTTTGACTGGTGTGGGAGACTTATTGAGGGGTGGGTCTAAATTATGCCTAAGAGACCCCTTAGGTCTGTGGACTAAGGGAGACTATACCTTTTTGCCCCCGGACTTGGGGAAGTACCCCAAGTGCCTGTACTGGGTTGAGTACCCGTGGGACTTTAGGCCTGTGTTACCCCAAGGACACAGGGCCGCGAGACAGTCCATTCTTGGGGTGGTGGCGGCACGTTACCCCCAGACTAGCGAGTGTGCTCCGGGAGAGGGGTCGGCCGGACATAAGGCGCCCCTAGGGAGGCATTCGGAGTCTGGAAGGCGGTCGGGCGCAGGGAGGTGGGTGGCTCAACGCAGGAGCACCCCCTACTGGCCCGCCTCAGTCTTTGCCTGCTAGTGGCAATATATAAGCTATGTATCTGTACATTTTTGCAGTTGGGCACAATTACACAGCCCAAGTTAGCACTGTCTGTGTTAGACCTCCAATGTTATTGGTCTCTCATAAACACACACATATATATGTATGCATGTACATATGTAACCATTAGGGCTGTGTGAAATTTCACAGCCAGTATTGTTTCAACACTGTTTCGACCTGTTTCAAGGTTGAAACAGCAAAATCGAAACAAAACAGATATAGTCAAAACAGCCTTGAAACAAAATGAAGCAAGTCGAAATGTTTTGCTGTTTCAATGTTGTTTTGACATTTCACCCATAGGCTATAATAGGGAAGAACAAAACAGCCTATAACTTTGTCATTTCTGGCTTGATTTGGATGAAACTTGCAGGAATGGTTGCTCCTTCTGAGGGCATGAAGCCTGCCGTGTTTCAAGGAGATAGGTGCAGGGGCTTGGGGGAAACTGCACCGCAAATTCTTGAAAGAAAAACTCATGTCACATGTAAATGTTAAGCCACAGCTGGGTCAAAACTTCAGGTCTGCTAGCCCGTGTGGAGGCCACAAAGTTACAAAGAGATAGGTGCAGGGATTTGGGGGAAATTGTACCTCAAGCTGCGGACAAGCAAAACTCGTGACATGGGTGACACTGTATGTTCAGGCTCAGCAGGGTGAAAGCTGCAGGCCTGCTAGTCCCTGCTGAGGCCACTAAGCCTGCCAGCTGTCAAGAAGATCGGTGCAGCGGTTCTGGGGCCTTGCAGCCCTAGCTGCTGACAGGCAAATCTCATGACTTGTTTTGTGGCCTCTGCAGGGGGGAAGCAAGCCTGCAGTTTTGACCCCGCTGTGGCTTAACACATACACGACAGGAGTTTTTCTTTCAAGAATTTGGGGTGCAGTTTCCCCCAAGTCCCTGCACCTATCTCCTTGAAACTTGGCAGACTTTATGGCCTCAGCAGGGGCTAGCATCCTTGTAGTTTTGATCACACTGTGGCTTAACATGTACACGGGACGCAAGTTTTGCTTTCAAAACTTTGGGGTGTAGTTTCCCCGAACCCCCTGCACCTATATCCTTGAAACTTGGCAGTCTTCATGCCCTCAGAAGGGGCTACCATTTAGAACGCTGCCGTTTCACCCAGCCCGAGTAACCATCTGCCATGCGCTGTCAGCAACAGAAAGGGTCAGGTTCAAATATCCAGGTGTTCCTCTCAGTTTAAAAAAAACAGCATTGGCTTGAGCTGCCAGTTAGAAGCCTAGAGGAGGAAAAACTCTTTGCTACAAGGTATGAACTTTTCTCCTCTGCCCCCTCTGGCTTTTGTCCATGAAATGAATCTCTGCAGTTATCCCTAGTCATTGCAGTGCATATTCCTGTGCTCCTGTCAGCAAGGACTCTGTTCCAGGGTTCTATATGTTGAAAAGATCCCACAACTCTCGACAGACAGCTCTATCAATCCAAGGCTCCCTGTGAACCAGCGAGAAACAGGATCCCACAGCTGGGAGCCCCATGCATGCCAGTTGAGAGGCTCCCAGCCACAGGGTTGCTCCCTGCACCCCCGGGATGTGGGGATTGCCATCCTTTTACCCCTGAGGTGCATGAAACCCCTCTGGGCCAGAGGACTGCTGCAGGGGCAATCTCCCCCCACCCCGGGTGTATGGGAAACCCCCAGGGCAGAGGGATCACCCCTGTGGTAATCCTCCTGCCCCAAGGATTTGCCAGAAGGCATGCTATGGGGACCCAGCATCCGCAGCTTTGGGACTCTGCATTCTGGCAGCTGTAGGGTGCTGCTGGGACCCAGAGTCTACAGCTGCTGGGGCACCTTGGGGGTAAAAGGTGAACAGCTTGGACAGTGTGTTCAGATCTCTGAAGTGATCCAATAAAAAAATTATTAAACAAAGATAAAATTGGTGGTTGAGTTCTGGAGAAGATCTAGTGATATCTTAACCCTATGACAATATCTTCCTCTTCCTAGCTTCCCCAAGACAAGCTGTACATTGATTCTGAGGTAGAGAGGATTTTGGTCTACACTAAGACAGATAAGGCCAACCCTCCTCCACCCCTACCCCCCGCTCATAACCTTAACATAAACCTTGCTGGATTAAGGCTGAGCCAAAGTGTCTGCAGCCACGTCTGTAAGTATGTTGGGGATTGTTCATCTCCAGATGGAGCACTTCATGCTTCCCAATGTTCAACTTAATCTGGTTCCGATCTGCCCAACTTGCCAGCCTGTCTAGGTCCTCCTGTATCTGCAGCCTATTTTCAAGCGTGATCATGCTCCCCCATAACTTGGTGTCATCCACGAACTTGGTCAGTGAGCTCTTCACCCCGACATCCAAATCATTGATAAAGATGTTGAAAAGCCCTGGACCAAGCACAGACCCCTGAGGGACACCATTGGCTACTTCTTGCCAGAACAACACAGAACCGTTCATTAGAAGTCACTGGGTCCTACCTCACAGCCAGTTTCCTACCTACCTGTTGAGCAGTTAAGCCTACAATCTTCCAATTTTCCCATGAGAACATCATGGAATACCAGATGAAAGGCCTTTTTTAGAAGTCTAGGTATACAATGTTGACCTCTGTCTTATGCAGGTGGCGTGATACCTGGTTGTAGACGGAAATGAGATTGGTAAGACAAGATCTGCCCATGATGAAGCCGTGCTGGATGTCATTTAGGATCCTACCTTTTGCAAGCGTATCACACATAGACTCCTTGATGAATTTTTCCAGGATTTTCCCTGGGATAGAAGCTAGGATAATTGGCCTATAGTTGATCAGGTCCTCTCTCCTCCCCTTCTTGAAGATGGGCACAACATTGGCCCTCTTCCAGTCTTCAGGGACCTCCCCCAAGCACCACAAATTTTGGAAGAGTTTTGCCAGAGGTCCCATGATGACTTCTGCCAGTTCCTTCAGCACTCTTGGATGAAGTTCACCTGGTCCTGCTGACTTAAAAATGTCTAACTTTTCTAACTGGTCACACACCAGCTCAACGTCAACAGTAGGAAGGTGGTCATTCCCACCATGGTCATTCTGAACCTTATCTAGTATGATTTTCCCCATTAGTCTGGTGAAATACCAAAGCAAAGTAGTCATTTAGTAGTTCAGTTTTCTCCCGAGTGTCAGTAACCAGCTGTCCTGAGTTGTTAAACAATGGTCCCATGCTTCCATTTGTTTTCCTTCTGTTCCCTACATACCTAAAGAAGAACTTCTTATTGTCCTTGATTTCTGTTGCTAGTTTAAATTCAGTCACCGCCGTAGCCTTTCTAATCTGCTTCCTACAAGTGCAGGCCATTGTTTGTATAGTCTTCCTTGGGGACTGTCCCAAGCTTCCATTGTCTGTATGCCTCCTTCTTCTTTTTCAAGAGGACCATGATATCCCTATTAAGCCAAGAGGGCTTAACAGCCCTTCTGCTACCTTTCCTCTGCATGGGAATGGACTTCTTTTGTGCTTCAAGGATCATGTCCTTGAGAAATGACTACTCTTTGGGCACTCCTTTCACTTTTGGTCCCTCAGCGCTTCCCCTATTATTGCCCTGAGCTTGTTGAAATTTGCTTTTTTGAAGTCGAAAACTTTTATGACTTGCTAAACACAAGCAAAAAGCTCATACTATGTTTCACTCACTCATGATAATGGTATGAGAATCACTCCATCTTGTCATTTTAATT